GGCCTCCCAAAGTGCTGGGATTACAGGCTTGAGCCACCGCGCCCGGCCTGCCTGCAGCTGTTCTTAACAGTGGCCTATGCAGGCTCTGGCTTTGGATTGCTGGGGTCTTAGTCCTGAACCCCGGCCTCAATAATTTCCAGATGTCCTCATAAGTTCCATCGTGAGGTTGTTAGAGGTTAAAATGACTTAATGGTGTGACACAAGCTAAATGCTACAAAAAATGTTAGTTCTTGCAATTTTTTTTTTTTTTCAGAGACAAGTTCTCACTCTGTCACCCAGGCTGGAGTGCAGTGGCGTAGTCATAACTCATTGCAGCTTCAAACTCCCGGGCTGAAGCGATCCTCTAACCTCAGCCTTCAGAGTAGCTGGGACTACAGGTGTGCACCACCATGCCTGGCTAATTTTTTTTATTTGTTGTAGAGACAGGGTTTTGCTATGTGGCCCAAGCTAGTCTCAAATTCCTGGGCTCAAGTGATCCTCCTGCCTCAGCCTCCCAAGTAACCTGGATTGCAGGCACATGCCACCACACCCGGCTAGTTCTTGCAATTATTATTATTAGGGATTGTTCATCCTTAGGCATCCTCTCTCCTCATGTGAACTTTGGCCTTTCTGTGACATTCGGCATCTTTCATGAATCTTCTGAAAAGCTTCAGGTTAATGTGAGCTGCTCTGATATCTTAACACCCAAGGTATCACTTGGGTCACTGCCAGCATCCAGCATCAACAATTCAGACAAAGAGCAAAACTGCTTAAAACCTGCATATTAACTACGTGGAAAGGAAGACAAACAGTCTAAGATAAAAAGAAACGCATGTAAGGACCAGGTGGCCCGTTTTTAGTAGCCAAGGAAAAGCAGGACAGGAGGGGTCCACCAGTGCCTAAGTAGAGGTGGAAAAAGATTTGCTTAAACAGGTAGCTGAATACAGCTCTTCTAGTTCTGACCGAAAGTACTCTCCCCACCCATCCCCTGAAGAAACCCAACCGTGAAACAACTAAAAGATGGAGATGCAGCTCTGATAATAAGCAGGGAGGCTAGTTTAAGAGAATGTGAATGACAGAGGAGGTAGCAAAGAAAATCACAAGGGGCTGATTCATAAGACACCTATACTCATGGTGGAAACAATGAAGCTGACAGCTACTATTTCAGGACTCTCGCGTGGACTGGACACTCGCCAACATCCTTAGGTGAGCAGCACCACAGCCCCTGAGATAAGAGAGTCTATTACTGCCCCCTGTTGACAAATGAAGAGATTGCAGATTTGAGGGTTATTAACTTGGCCAAGTCTCAAAATGAGGAGTAAAGTGTAGGTTAAAATCCTGGTCAGTCTGGCTCCAGGGCCCAACTCACAGGGAAGTTGGAGAGCACGAGGGTGAGTGATCAGAGCAGTAGGAGACCAGCCTGTCAAGAAAAGCATCAAGAGGAGAAGGCGCCATGCTGGGTGCCACGCCCTACCAGGAAGGACCCCAAGCATGGCCTCCACCAGTCACACCCTCCAATCCCCTCCTCTCCAGCTCCTGATCCCCCATATCCGCTACACCATGGAAATCAACACCCGGGCCCGGACCCAACTCATCTCAGATGGAGGAATTTTTGATAAGGTGAGGAGGGTACGGGGCATGGGACTGCCTCATCCATCTCTCCATGAGCTACCCCTTTCAGGATCCAAGACCAACTATGTGTGAATGTCCTCACTCTTAACCTATGAACCTGTCCCTTTTATACCCATGTCTTTTTTTTTTTTTTTTTTTTTTCCTGAGACACAGTCACTCTGTCGCCCAGGCTGGAGTGCAGCAGCGTCATCTCAGCTCACTGCCACCTCCGCCTCCTGGGTTCAAGCGATTCTCCTGCCTCAGCCTCAAGTAGCTGGGATTACAGGCGCCCACCACCACGCCCAGCTGATTTTTATATTTTTAGTAGAGATGGGGTTTCACTGTGTTGGCCAGACTGGTCTCGAACTCCTGACCTCATGATCCACCTGCCTGGGCCTCCCAACGTGCTGTATACCCATGTCTTAATATCTGAAAATCTCACATCTGCCCCGCTTTATGGAAGATGCGATGGTTCTCCAGCCCTGTTTCCCCTGCTAAGACTTGTGATCTCCTGTCCCAGGCAGTGAGCACAGGTGGAGGGGGCCATGTCCAGTTGCTTCGTCGGGCGACGGCTCAGCTGACCTACTGCTCCCTCTGTCCTCCTGACGACCTGGCTGACCGGGGCCTGCTGGGACTCCCAGGTGCTCTCTACGCCCGTGATGCTTTACGGCTCTGGGAGATCATTGCCAGGTAAGGATGAGCTGACGAATGGCGGAGGAGGAGGGCTCTGGCCTGAGGCCAGCATGGGGCAAAAGCAAGAAGGTCCAGACAGGAGAAGCAGAGAACTCAATCCTGGGGAGAGATGAGGAAGAGTGAAGACACAGGGGGTGGCTCTGAAAATGAGGAGACTGGGATGGGGCAGAGAGAGGAGGTGAGGGGAGCTGTTGGGGGAGACTGGGGGAAGTGTCTGGAAAAATCAGGATTTCTGAGGATGTGTGACAGCAACCATGTGAATTCCTAGAACTAAGGACCCAAATCTCCCATGAGATGCCAGTGTGTTTAGAGGGCTGAGGATGTCCCAAAGGCAAGGTCTCTTCCCAGATACTGTGGAAGCATTGGGCAGATGCCACAGAAAGAGGAATGGAGGTCAGAGGACGGGGCCTTCTGCTCTCAAGTGCCTTTTCCCCCTGGGCAGGTATGTGGAGGGGATCGTCCACCTCTTCTACCAAAGGGATGACGTAGTGAGGGGGGACCCTGAGCTGCAGGCCTGGTGTCGGGAGATCACGGAGGTGGGGCTGTGCCAGGCCCAGGACCGAGGTAAGATCCATTCCAGAGAGAGAAGAAGCTCCTGGGGGACTCTGCTAGGGCCCCTTCCCAGCCCTGCCCTTCTGGGGACAGGACCCCAGCCTCTCAACCTCCCTTCCTCCCTCCACACAGGAAAGCATACGTATCCCATTCCCACCTCCTCAAACTCAGGACAATTCTAGAGACCCAAGGACTGTCCTCCTCAGATTCCCTGGCCATCAACCCCTAGTCCCACCAACCCCCGTCACAGATGCCCCTGAACTGCCATATCCTGGGGCCCACCAGGCCAGAGCCACAGCTGAGAGGGCTCTGCACAGTCCCTGCTGGGCTCATATTCTCCCCTGATGGTTCCGTTTTCCTAACTGAGGGCGTAAATGGGAAGATTTTCCCTCCAAAGCCCGTAAGGACCCACCCTGGCTTTCCGTCCCTCTCTTCCTGCCTGCCACTGTCCAGCACGCCCAGAGGGTCCAGGAATACTGCACGCTTGCTACAGTGCAAGGTCAGCTCTTGATGCAAGCTCAATCCTATACATGCTTTGCCTCAAACCCAAACTCAGCACCCTGATCCTTGGGGCTCAGGTTTCTTTGGCTAATCCAACCCTCCCACCGGAACCACCCCTTGGCCAGAATCTAGCCACTACCATATGAGAACCTCTGAGGAAGAAAAAGCCTTTGCTGAGCTCTTGGGTTTAATCACACAGGCCCCAGCCTGGACTGCTGTCACTCATCCTTTGGCCCCTCCCCTTCACACTTCAGATCTAGGCCTTGAATACCATCCTCTGCCTCTGTGGGACGACTACAGACGTTTACTGGGGAGCCCTTATGGCCAATCCTGGGAATGTGGCAAACATCCTTACCCTGGAGGGAGCCTCTCCCTGGCGAAGCTGCACCACCCCACCCTTCCAGGAACAAACTGTCTCTAGATCTTCTTAGTACAGTCCCTTAGACTCCTAGCAGTTTGGGCTACTGCAACAAAACACTGGCCGGGCGCGGTGGCTCACACCTGTAATCCCAGCACTTTGGGAGGCTGAGGTCGGTGGATCACGAGGTCAGGAGTTCGAGACCAGCCTGGCCAACATAGTGAAATCCTGTCTCTACTAAAAATACAAAAATGAGCCAGGCGTGGTGGTGCGCACCTGTAATCCAGCTACTCAGGAGGCTGAGGCAGGAGAATTGCTTGAACTTGAGAGGTGGAGGTTGCAGTGAGCCGAGATCACTTCATTGCACTCCAGCCTGGGCAACAGAGTAAAACTCTGTCTTAAAAAACAAAAACAAAAACAAAAACAAAACCACACACCATAGACTGGGTGGCTTACAAACAACAGAAATGTATTCCTCACAGTTCCAGAGGCTGGAAGTTCAAGATCAGGTTCTGGCGAGAGCCCTCTTCCAGGCTGCCCACAGTCGATTTCTCCCTGTATCCTCACATAGCAGAAAGATAGCAAGCTAGCTAGCTATCTACTCTGTCCTCTGCTCATAAAGGTATTAAACCCACTCAGGAGGGCTGTATCCTCATGCCCTAATTATCTTGTGGGGCTCCACCTCCAAATACCATCACAATGGGATTAGATTTCAATATAAAAACTTTTCAGAGCCAAAGATACTCAGTTCATGACACACGTTAATTTAACCTCCACTAACTGCCCTCCCCCTTGTTCTCTTTCAGTTCTCATAGCTCACCTCTGTCTAGTTTCCCCAACAGGCATTTTAGAGGCTAAAATTAAAAATGCTGTGGGATTAGCAGTCAGGAATCTGAGTTCAAGGTCAGCCTCTGCCTTTTCCCGACTATGCAGTCCTGACCGTGTATTCTCTACGGGCTTTGATTTTCTTACCTATGAAATGAGAGTAATTGTATTTATTCCACTTAACTGATAAGATTATCGGGTCTCCCAGCACTTTGGAAGGCCGAGGTGAGCAGATCACCTGAGGTCAGGAGTTCGAGACCAGCCTGGCCAACACAGTGAAACCCCATCTCTACTAAAAATACAAAAATTAGCCGGGCATGGTGGTGGGCGCCTGTAATCCCAGCTACTTGGGAGGCTGAGGCAGG